TCTTTGATGATATTGTATCACGACAACCTTTAAATGTTAATGGTATTGTTAAAAATCTTTTCATTTCATTATAATAAGTTGCTTTAATTGCTTCTAAATTAGCCTGTTGTTCTTGTGATGAATTTGATAATTTATATTGAATAGAATTATCACTAAAACAAAGAAAGAAAACAATAATTAAACAAAATGAAATATTTTAAATCGATTTAAAATACCCAAATATAAGATCTATATTAATATCAGGTAAATTTTCATTTAAAGTTTTTAAACCTATTGAATATTGAAGATCAAGTGCTTTATATAATTGTCTATCCCAAAAAGCTCTCCATGATTTCATATTATCAGCTAAATAACCTTCATGAATTAAATTTTCCATAATTTTTCTAATATCATGTATTTGTTCATTCCATTTTTCTTGTTCACGTAATAAATCTGTATTCATTAATGAACAAACAATTTGTTGTATATTTGAATGATGACGACGTAATTTTAAATTTTCTGTTTTTAATTTTTCAGCTGTTGCACGAAGTGTTGATATATAACGTGATAATTGTTCAGGATTATCCCAAGTTATTTTAACAGCTGAATCACCTCCACTTCGTTCTTTTAAAAGAAAAAAAAACAAAATTCGTAAAATACATAAAGACTAAATTCTTACGAGATAATTTTGGATCTTTAACAAGACGTTCAAAATGTTTAGCTAACTCGAGCATCATTGGTTGTTGACTTGGAATCATTTCCGAATCGATTGTATTATAAAAATGTGCTAACTAAAAAGTATTAATCTACTATAAATTTGAAATTTGAAAAAAAGCAAACAAAACATACAGCTTGAAGTTCAACTCCATATTGATAAAATTTCTTTCCCATATCTGTACATTTAATAATTTTTGATGGTATATCATAACCAAGTGATGATAATTGTCGTACTTCATTAAGTAAAATAATTAATCTATCACCATAAAGTACACGTAATTTTCCATCACGTGAGTCAAGTTCCATTAAACGGCCAGTTGTTTCAAGACTAAAAAATCGATTTAGAAAGACAAATAAAAAAAAAGATTAAAAATATAATTGAATAAATATTAAACCTTAATGCTTGTGATGGATCATCAATAGCACGTATTGTATCTTGACACCATTCTTTAAATTTATCTTTTCTCCAATTAATTAAATCTTGTTTAAGTTGTTTAGCAAGTGAAGCAACACGTGAATAACCCGATAGATCACTTAATAATTTTTCTCCATCATTAATTATATTATTTACCTTAAAAACAAAATTTAATTAAAAGCTCTAAAAGATTTATTAGTGTAATTCCTGTGCGATTAAAATATGAATTTCATAGAAATATTAATTTCCACTACTAAACAAAAAAATTGATTAGGAAGAAAGTGAAATTCTTGGGAAATTTTCGATGGAAAATTATCCAAAACTTTTGCCAAAAAAATATTTATGTTAAAAAATAACAAATGTCACATCATTCGATATAGTTTTCCGTGCTGATTCCAAATATGACCATATTCTCCTCTTAAAATACTTCTGAGACAAGAGAATGCGAAGAGCTTGTATCTCAGTCCAGAAGCATTTATGCAAATTGAGTAGATTTGTCAGACGAAGAAGAACATTTTATGAAAGTTTCATCGAGTTTCGAACTGTACTAAAGTGCGTGCATCGACTACACTGAATATGTCTTTTGTAGAAAACCCTTAGTTGAGAAAACGTACATACTTTTCCCGACAGGGAAACTGTTTGAATAAAGTTTTTCATATAGAACAATAGAGCAAGAGCTCTTCTTTAATAATCTGCACGATTTATTTCGTGGATCTTTCGAATTTCTTTAGTAAAAGATACTTTTCTCTAAGATGACAAAAACTTAGCCATTTCTTTTGAGCTTAGGATTTTTCCCAAACCCTAAAAGAGCTAGAATAATTTTTTTTAGAGCAAAAATTCGGTCATTAATCAAAGTATATTGAAGATTATTCAGATCGCAAAAAAAGAAGATTCTTAGCATAATAAATATTTTCATTTACTTTTGCTTCAATTTGTCGACTTGTATCAAGTGCAGTTGCAATTACTGTACGATTAATTCCTTTTGTAGCTGATTTTTTTCGTCCATTCATTAAATTATTAAAATCATCAGATAACATTTTAATCTCATTTTCTAATTGACTTAAAAGTACATCTCTTTCAGATGCTAATTCTTTTCGAATTATATCACGTTGTATTAAATCACTATAACGTTTAAAATCTATAAGCATTTGTTGTGGATTTGAATGTAATTTTTGAAAATGTTCACGTAATTGTCTTGCTACATCACGATCTATACTTAACATTGTATTTTCAAATTGATTCATTGCAGAATTCCATTGTGGATCAGTATATGGATTAAATTGTATTGGATTAAGATTAAAAAATGGTGCAAATACTTGATTTGCTGAGAAATTTTCTTTATTCATGGATGGATTAAAACGTAAACTTTGTTCATATGATGAACGAATACTTATTATTTGTTGTAAACGTTTTTTAAATTGTAATAAATATGTTGCTTTAAATGGTTCACCTTTCCATGGATGTGGATTATAATTACGCCAATAGATACTTGTTAGTTGTTCAACAGCCATCGACCAACGTTCACATATATTAGCACCATTACGTAAATGTTCACGAGTTTTTAATGAATCTTTTGAATCGGACCAGAAATCAATATTTGTTAATTGTTTTTGAACTGATTGAACAAAACTATTCGATGTTATTGTTAATAAATGTTTCATACGTTGTTCAGGATATTCATCATGTTCCGTTTGTTTCCATACATCATCATAAACGTCTTTAAAAGAAAAAAATTTAATGAAGTTATTGAGATTGAAGAAAAATCGAATACAATTAATCTTTTACTCTCAAAGATATTAATCAATTTATAGATATAAATCGAAAATATGAAAGATAAAAGAGTTAGAATGGATAAAAAAATGATTTTATTATCTGTATAGTTTACTAAAGAGATGTACACGAGCTGAAAATATTTTCCTCATCATCATCATAGAAACAAAAGTCGATCGGAAAATCATTTCCGCTTATGGAAAAACGCTTCATTCCTTATGAAGTTATGTACATCAAGAAAAAATGGAACGAGCGAATATAAACATATATATCTATCATTCACTATTCTATTCCATTACATTTCAATCTAAGCAAGTATCATTTTTTTTTCTCTACAAAGAAATGGATGAAGTATTTCTATTTGAATATTTTACATTTCTACTAAAAAAAAGATTTTCTAATATAATTTCTCCATAGGAATAAAAGAATCACATGATTGTTATCTAACTAAGTCTTTTGAACTTCTGCTTATATTTCATTTCTTCTATAGTAAATGGATTTAAGCAAGGGTATCGAGGGAGTGACCTCATCGAATCTTGAAAAACTTTTGTTCTTCTCCAGCGAAATTCCAGCATATGTTTGCTTGGCATGCTGATTCTTGATAAAATGCCCAATTTCCCAAATCCAGTCAACTTTGACAAAAATCTTCTAAGTCATCACTCCCTCACCAATCCTGGCAGCCTCGAAGCATTGCTAGTTTTTCTCATGAAAGCATTTCTACTCATGATGTAACAGTTTCCTTCCTTTTAGAGAATATTGTTCAGCCCTATTAGATTGACACTATCTAAAAAAAACAGACTTATCGCTAATGAATTCATTAACATTTTTCTTTGTCTTCTTTAAATTTTTCGATTTTTAAAAATATTTCTAGAACCTATTTTCATTCTTAATTCTAGTTTTCTAAATATTTAACACAACTCGGAAGTTGAATATTCATTATACCTTGTGTTTTTTCAACAACATCGACAAGTTCAAGAAGTGTTAAACTAAAAATTTAAGCAACAATTAGAAATCATTTAAATTAGATTCTTTTTGTTTTTACTTTTCGAGATTGTCAAAATTTGCTTTTACTGGATCGAATAATTGAAGAAAATATTTTGCTCTTTCAAGATCTTGTGTTTTACTTGATGTATTTCTTGCAACATCATACCAATAAGCAATTTCATCTTTTGGATGTGATATAGTTGCCATTGATGATGATGAACTACCTGAACTTTTCTTTCCTGATGATCGAAGTACTTGTTCAAGTTCACTTAATGATGTTTGAATTTGTTGATTAGCAGCTTGATTTGATTTATTATTATTATTATTATCACGTAAAGCTGGTGAAAATACAGATTTAATCATATAATAAAGTGAATCTATTGGTGAATCAACCATTGATGATAAAAATATATTTGTATAAATATTATCTGATGTAATTTGATCAGGTCGAAGTTTAAATAAAACTAAACATTGTGTACCTTCGACAATTTTAATCTAAAAATTATTATTTAGAAAAAAAGAAAAATAAATCAAATATAATGAAAATACCTCATTTGCTAGATCAATTGAATGTTTGTGATTACGTGTTGCTGAAAGTAAAGGACATTTTGCATCATCAAGAAAATTATTTAATGAACGATGATCAGATAAAGATGATAGAGAATCACGTTTGATACCAAAATAATTGGCAATTGTTGATAATATATAAGTTTTTCGTGTATCTTCCGGCATGTTTAAAACATAAATAAATTTTCTACGATTTCGCAGCTGATTACTTTCATTCTGGATGATGGTTTTCAATCGTTACTTAGTTACAGTATAATTTATCTATACTTACATATAGTGACATCTATTGATCGTTTTTAAATAATAATAATAAATAACTTAATTATTAGATGAATTAAAATAATTTTTTAATATAAAAATATTTTCTTTAGTATAAAACGATGAGTCATATGTAACATATTGAATGGCTACGTTCGTTCGTTTGATCTATAAAAGTCATAGCGTATGATGATTTGATCTGTCTCAAAAAAATGGCCGATGCAAGGCTGGTGTTTGACCAATTTGGGTTTTCTATGCCCATTCAACTTTTTTTGAATATATATTATTTTTTATTAAAAATTAGTATTTAATGCCTCGTCGGTCTTCCAAACAAAATCGTAATGGTGCTAAAAATAGCACTGGTACAGAATCCCTTCGTCTTGCTATCAAAGGTAAAATTTATAAATGATTATTTAATTACTTTTTTTAATTATTTATATTTGATTTAGATTTTAGTGTTTATGATTATTCACGTTCATCAAAAGATTCACCTCAAAATAATTTACGAGCAACATCAAAATTAACGCGTGAAGGTAAAAAAAAAAACTTATTTTTTCTTTCATTTAATTATTTGAGTTTGTTTTTTTCTTTTCATAGGTCGAACTTTAATGGATGAACAAGATTGGTACGAAAAAGATTTAAGTGATTTTGATGATCCACAATTGTCTGATGAAGAACCTGAAGGTTAATTTCATGTTTTTTTTTTCTTATAATCTTTAATTATACTGGGTCTCATAGATATCCTATGAAGAGATAATCTCGAAAAAGTATATCATATAGAGTTAACAGAAGAGAGAAAGCGAGTATATGAAAAAAACAGTACGTGATCATACATAAGATAGTTCTAATTTTGAACATAGCAAATAAAGAACGAAATAAAAAATAATCAATCACGAAACCAAAACTCAAAAAGGTGAGCATTCTAATCGAACGTGAATTTAAACACATACCCGTTGCCTTAAGAATTATGACATATATATCACTTCTAAGGAATCGATAAAAGGCTCACTAATCAGATAAACTCAACATATCTGAACCTGTGTTAAGAACTCCTTCAAAACGTCTCCACTAAAGATATAAACGATCGAGTAGAATATATTCATCTGTAATAGAAAAAAAAAATCTGGAAAGCCTAAACAGTAAAAAGAAAATAAAACTATAAAATATTTGACAACGTACTTGAATAACAATTTACTGTTCGTCATTACATAAAATTTTAAGCATGGAAATTTGAGTATTAAATTTTGATATCCAAGATATCGAAAATTTTTAACATGCAATAAACGATATCTTTAGTTAAAAAAAAGTGTTAGATTGGAGATGTTGATTTTTTTTTTGTTTCTTTAGTTTTATTTAAATAATCATTTTTGTTTTCTTATTTAGTTCACCAACCCAATGTTCGATCAAAACAAAAACAATGTACAAAAAAAGATCTATCTACAATAGTAAATACTAATGATGGAAGAGATTATCCCCTTGATTTATGGTTTATAATTGCTATGTATATATCACCTGAAGATATTGGTAAATTTTCATTAATTTGTCGAGCATCAAATCATGTTGTAAATACAGTTTATTTTTGGATACGTTTATTTCGAAAGTAAAAAAAAACAAAATTCATTTCTTTCTCAATTAATCAACTATGAAATAATTTATTTTTATTTTTGAAATAGACATAATAAAACAGAAGCAAATAAAATTGGTCGAATACTTGTTCATGAACATTTATCAATAATTCGTACACATGTTATCAAATCATTATATCAAATTTATCCATTATTTCAAAATCGTTTAAATAAAACTGATGTTATACAACAAGATCCACATTTTCTTCGTTTATCACGATGTGTACGTATTTGGTATTCAAAAGGATCACAAACAACAACACAACGTGACGCATATAATTATTATTTTGAATTTCGTTTTGATAATACAAAAGATTCAAAACAACAATATCAACAACAAATTCAAATTCAAGCTATATCACCAATTATTCAAACAAATAATCAATATATTATTAATAAAGATTGTTGTATATTACATTTAATTTGTTCAAATTTTGTACCAATTGGTCCATATATGGGAATGATTTTATCCCAAATAACACTTAATGTTAGTAGTGATTATCGATATCATAAATTAAAAATGTGGTTTGATTCATCAAGATTATGTTTACAAACATCAAAAAAATATAATGATTCAGTTGTTATTATTGATCCAATTTTATGTTTAAGAGTCTATAATTGGTATAATAGTCCAGCGAGTTTTGATTGAGAAGCAAAACAAGAAGAAGAATTTATTGAATGTTTTCACTTATTTCTGTGATCATTTTTTTTTGTGTTTAAGAGATACAGTACTTTATCTTTTGTTTATTTATATACTATGTTTCTGCATTTTGTTTTTTTTTTTCGATTTTACTGTAAATAATCTTGCTACGTGTAAAGATGTAGGAAACTTAAAAGCTTTTCTTTTCTTTATAAAAACTATGACTTTTCTTTGTGTGGTTTATTTGGATACAAATAAGAAATTCGGATGATCATTAATTGATGAATATGCTTTGTCGTTTACAATTTATATAAGCTTTCAGTATATAGAAAATTTTTTTGTAAAGCTTTCTACGTAATTTATTTTTGTGGAAGAATATACCTATAAATGCTTTTTTATAACAAAATTTAAGAAAAAGTTTATCGTTCTAAATTCGATTGAAGTATCTTATGTTCAGCTATAAACTTTTCTGTTTTTGATTGTTATTATATAGACTCGAACATCATTTATTAATCAACATGATTAAAAAATCGAAAATACGACTGTCATGTGTGGATAATTCCATCGTAGGTGTGTTGTAGAAAAACCAAAAGGAACTAACAAGACATTCTTTATTTTTGGCATAAAATGTGTGGATGTGAGTTCTAGTCTTCTCTTCGTCTACACTCACATCCATTCTGGAGACATTACTTTTTTTTCAATATTTTTCTAGTTTCGACATTTTTCGTTTATATATGAAAGTTCCTATACGAACTTCATCGAATTGATTTTAATATTTCTATTCTTGTTGAACATAGTCAATGCAAATTAAATATCCACTATAAATCGTTACCATGAAAAGATTCTAGATTTATGCAATTATAGTAAAATATGGGTTGTGTTAGAGACTTATTGATAAGATATATTCTTAAAGAAATACTCTTTTTTTATGAAAACTATTTTACGCTTTTAACAAAAACAAAATTTTTTGTGTAACATCATGTAAAAGAAATATGGAAGTGTAGGAGTATAAATTTGAACCAACCCTCTTTCTCCGTCACAGACATAGATATACGATTACAGGTCCGTATATCAGTAACATCTCGTTCTAATATATAAACTACTCCCTTATTGCATCTCTGGAGGATGAAATAAAAGGATGTTCAAGAAATGTGTCCTATAATAGATAGAATAAAATGATCTCCTAGTGATTAGTAATACCAACTACATCGTGTTTCACATTTTAATCCTACAGAGATTGTACTAACAGCTTTTGTTATACGGAAAACGTTGTTTTGTTTAGATAAGAACTAAATTATTTCACGATTGCAATATCTATAGCAGTTTTTAATGGATGAAAATTTCTAGAATTAGAATTTTGAGGACAAGACTTTAATCTTAGTTGATCATACTCATGAAACGTTAATATGTCATAAATCCTATGTTTTCACAAGGATCTATATTATTCTGATCGACGAAACGTCGGATTCCAATTAAAGTTTTTCTTTTAATAAATGATTTACAGTCATTCTTTTGAAAAAACATTATTCAAATTGAATGATACAATCTATATACGATCATTTACAGGTAATTTACAATAGTTGAATGAACCGTACTCTGCCATAATATTTGACGAAGAAATGCAACAGTATACAGCGAAAATATCGTATTATGGTGACCATAATGACGAGAAATATAGTCCGCTAACGTGCTATGTGAGACCGTATACAACAAAGTTACAATCAAAAACTTCATCGGAGAATGTCTTTCGAGATCTATCCAAAATAATATGAACTCATTGTTCATTCATATGTGTCAAAAGAAATTGATATCAACAAAAAATGAATCTATAGTCTTTTTGATTTCAAACTGAGTTCAAAAAGAAGAACTATTGCCTTCACTTTTGTTCTGAATAATTGGACAAGTAAAACTAGAAAGGATCTCATGTTTTTAGATTCATTGGTGAGACCATATACATAATATATATTATACGTCTCTCATTCACTTATAACAGCTATCAAATAAGACTATTACTATACATGCAGTATCATCTCCATTATGAATGCACGCTATGGGAAACTACGCACACAACATATATATATATATTGTATGTATTTATGACTAGTCTTATTTGCAATAGGATTGAGACTACGAGTCTTAACATGTATTATACGTATACTATTTGTATAGACATACTTCCATTTTAAAATAAGGATGGAACTAAGGGGACTAGCGGAAATTTATATACATTATATGTATATTGATATTACTTTTTTGGGAGAAAAGAATAGAGCTAGACGAGTTTTCTATTGATACGTTCTTCTGACGATGTGACCAGATATGAATGAAGTGTGCGAAGAACTTATTGATCTATTGCTATGAATTCAGATTTCATCTATTGATATCTAGCTTTCAGCCAGTCAGAAACAATATATCTTCTATGAAAACTCCAGAAAATCACGTTTTTGCCGACAATATTGAATAATGTAGTTTTTGTTATTTGTTTGATAATAATCGTGTTTGATGTGTGTGTAATCAAAGTTATATTCACAAATCTAATTATATTTTCTTGTTTTGCAGTGAAATTTACATCAACGAAAAAATGATTTCTAAGATAGTTACATGAATTCGATGGTGTCATAAAGAATTTCTTTCTAAAATAGAATAAAAAAGGTTGTATAAAGCTTCCTCTTCCTAAAAACAAGTCAAGAACTCCGCCGAATTTAGTGCCCTATCTTGAATCAGAATACCATATATTATGTGGTCTTGTAGAGCAATTCTATGTCAGAGAACAAGTGAATATCAACATGTAACTTTCTCAAAAATTGCACACTATCGAGCCTTGTAGATTTCACCGATACGATCTTTCGGAACAGCAGAGATTCATTATTATCTTCTAAAATTATTCGGTAGTATAGTCTATTTTTCTATATGAATGAGCAAGTATATTGACGATATTTTGATAATATTCAATGTTCTTATCAAAAATTTTTCTGTACTAATAATCAACACATCATTTGTGAGGAATTAATAAAGATATTTTCTTTATAAGCAGAAATAGTTTTGACTTCCGAGGCCCTGGAGACGTGCGAGAATATAGAAAAAAATTATGTTTCAAATGAACATAAAATATTTAGAAATTCTTCTAGAATTTCATGAATAAATCAAACCTAGATGCTCAGAATAGCAATTTAAGAAAGAAATAATAAAAATAATAGACTAGCTTCCTTGGGTCTGGAGGCCAAAATTTTTTTCCGCCTATTATTAAAATATCGTTAATATACCAGCTCCTTCATATAGAAAAATAGGCTTTTCTACCGAACAATCTTAGAAGTTAACAACGAGTCCCTGTTGTTTCGAAAGATCTTATCGATAAAACACATAGAGCTTGATAATGTACAATTTTTGAGAAATTTTCGCATTGATATTCACTTGTTCTGTGACACAAGACTAAGCGCACTGGAATGATGTACAGTCAACAAATAACCTAAGCCTATAGCAAATAACCATTTTTAACTTTGACAAAAACAACGATGAAAACTATTGATTATAGAAAATTCAAGAGTACTTATAACTGCTTTGAATTAAGTTTAAAAACAAAATGTATATAAGTTTATCTTAGAACATCTTAGGAACTACAAACTCAATTTCTTATGCACCATTCGATGCTTCACAAATTGCTCTACAAGATCACATAAAATATGGTATCCTGATACAAGATAGGTTACTAAATCTGGCGAAATCCTTTCGTATTCCAAAATTCTCGAAACAGCTTTATTGTAGCCGATTGCCTTTTCTTGTTCACAAGAGTAGAAGAAGAAACTGCAGTGCCTGGCCAATTCTGCTTTTTCAATTAAGTTTCTCTACTATTATATAAGAAAAGCACTTCTATAAATGAATGATCATCTTTTGCAAGTTTTTTGAGGTATTAAACTTTTTATTCTTTTTCCACATAAAAAGTTAAAATTTAAAAGAAAAGACTTCCTCAGGAGCTGCACTCTGACATGCTCTTTTAAATTGAAAAAATCTAAATCCATAGAATGAAGACTTACAGAGAATTTGTCTTGTCAAATGTGCTATTTTTTACGCTTGTTTTTTTGAATATCTACTGGAAACATCGTGATATATGGTCGAAAATTATAGGATGGCCTCCCAACAATAGCTTCAACATATCCTGAAAATTTCACGCAATTTGAATGCACCTCATCCAAGATTAATTATTGAGGGGACGAAACACTTAAATATAAAAAATATGTTATTCTTGATGAAACATGACAGAAACGAAAGTATCTTCTTGTTAACTACACTTTCCGTTTATCACCACGAAGATATTAAAAATTGACGTGAAAGTTCAACATAATTTCGTCTAGTTTGCTCCGAAGCGTCTATATTTTAAATGTCTGTATAAATTAAATAAAAAAAAAATTACTGATTACTCTTTCCTTACTCTCATCCTCAAAGTTTTCTCGGAAGAGAAACACAGCAATAGTCAGAAAAGAAGGTCAAACAATAAAAGAAAAAAACATTAAAATTTTAAATAAATAGTTTTTAATTAAAAACAAAAGCCACTATTATCTTCCATATTTAATAAAATGTTGAATGAGATATTTTTCCAATTTTTCATACGTCATACTTTTAAAGAAATAAAGACATTAGTCAAAACAAAAAGAAAAATTTGTCACCTAAGTGTTCTCAATAAGATGAAGGAAAATTACGTCATTGTTAACATCTGTACTCTCAGTATTTTTGCAAAACAAAAAAAAGATTTAATTCAATGTAAACTATTTCTTTAAAGCACTATTTAGTTCATAATTCTTTAAGAAAAACTGTCACAAGAAGTACAATTCAGCTTTTAATAATTCTTTTTCTCTAGATGACAATCATCAATCTATTTCAAATCTGAACAAAATTATTATCGCGATGCTTTTATAACTGAAGAAGAATAGACATGACTAGAGAAGTTAAACAATTTTTTTATCACCAGTAATATCGAAAAATTGGCACGAAATTATAAATGAATAATTATTGTA